TTTCTTGATATCATGTGCTAAGTCTTTCTAAACCAATAACTAATAATTTTGTATAAAAATGTTATTTAAATGGCAATATTCTATGTATTTAATAGCTTCTTCCACAAACTAGACTTATAAAATTGTATTCATAATTGTTGTTTTATCCCACGTTAGCACAACTAAAACCTAGAGCCATGACTTCTGACCTTAAAATTAATGTCAGAGATTATCAACTGGTTCACTGGAATGTAACTAAAGTATGATAAAAATTCACTAAGTACAAGTCACTGTGTTCGAAAGTTCTGTGGAGTATAAAAAATGCATGCAATGACCTTTGACTCGACTCCAAGGTTAACTTGGTCGTTTTCAAAACTCGATCACAAACATAAACATACATGGTGATCAAATCTTCACTATTTTCATTCAAAACTGATTAAATACATCCGGAAGTGTTCTTGATTAAACCCCACATAAATGTCATCATTTATACAAGTGTGTAAAGATTTCAATAAGGCCATTATGGTGCTATGTTTGAGGCCATATGAACACCATTTGATTCAGGACCAGCACAATATTGCTACAGTAGAACCTGTCTTGAAAGACCACCCTTTCTGCCAGAAAATTATGGTCTCTCAAGACAGGTGGTCTCTTATAACAGGTCACTGTGCTATATAATCATTTAGTTTGTGCACTGAGAATATGGTCTCTCAAGACAGGTGGTCTCACATAGCAGTGGTCTTTCAAGACAGGTTTCACTGTATAATAGTGTTTTAGTGAACAAGACCATCCATTCAGAAGAAGCTCCCAAATAAAGATTTCCTGGATGGCCATCAAGGCAACCATTTTGTAGGTTTCTTAAGTACCATTTGAACATAAGGATAACTAAATATTAGTATTGCCATAAATTCAGAAGGATTAACTGCTAAGAGACTTTTTCAGTTCTGAAGGTTACATCAACCTCATTTTCATTTAGGACCAATGACATATCATGAGAATGAAAAAACACCATGATGATGATACAACTATTTTTTCAATAGGAGTAGCAACAGCAAAAGATTTTCAAGATGGTATCATATTTTGTAACAATCAGCAAGACATTATGTCTTTAAGTGAAAACCCCATGCTGATATGACCATCAACATAGGAAAAGCAGCAATAACAAGATTTTCAAGATGGCCACCATAATGGACATATTCAATGTCAAACCAATTGGGCCATCTAGACATGGGGTCTAAAACTCAAACCACCATGAAGGCAGCATGAGGGCATTTTCAAGTGCCCAAGGGCTGCAACACCTTTGTTATCTCTAATGACACCTTGTTACACCAATGGCCACAGAATACACCTTGGTAGGCCACATGCAGGCTATGGACTGCAGGTTTTAGAACTTTGATCTAGACATAAAAAAAACCCAACCCAAGTTGATGTCTGCAATATGGATGTCATATCAGTACCATTTCTACTGTAGATCGACTAAATGAAGAATGCACGAGATGAAAACTCAACATTTATATAACCATCCATCCAGGAGGAGTTGCAAAAATAAAACTTTTAACTACCAATTTTTATTCAGAATCAACTTGACACCATAAAAAATGTTTGCCATGATGATTTGCACCATTGTTAGTTATGCCCAACTAGATCATATAAAAGCATATTATGAAAACCCCATGTTGATATGACCATCCAGTCATTAAAAATATAAATGACAAGATTTTTACAACTGCCACATATAAGACATCATAAGAAGTCTTTCTGTGAAAAATTACCATCCCTTAATTAGTAATAGCAATAACTTCATTATGATGTTGGCTGCCATTTCAGACATCAGATTTGCAAGTTCTCATTGAGGTTTGAGCAGACATCACAACTCTTTCTGTGAAACATGATGTTGATATTACCAGCTGTTTGGGAGCAGAAGTGATATATTAATATTGAACTTAACTTATAATATGGCCATATTAGCTGTCTATGGGGCACTCTTTTCATTTAGGATCAACTAAATCTCTTGATGAATGTGTGCATGTTTCATAGAAATCTGAATCCTAGTAGTTTGTGAGATAATTGGGGGTTGGTTGGATTAGTAATAAAAAATGTTTTGTTGACAGAGAAGGGAAACCAGATTATAGATGAAAGGCCATTGTCTTCAGAGATCACTAGCATTTAGCCATATTGGTTATGAACTTGATCACCTAGTTTGATAGAATTTCATCTATAATCTGGTTTCCCTCCTCTGTCAACTAAAAAATGTAATGAGCAAACATTTTTGTCTATTTTTTTTTGTCAAGTCAACTGAAGCCATTGACAACTTTAAGTTCATAAGAAAAACTCATAGCAATCATCCAGAAATTGAATATTAAAGATGACCAAGTAAATAGACTTATACAGCCTCATCTTGAAAAAGCAATTAACTTCTTCATGAGAAAAATACCTATTTCACCCTCTCATTACATATTTTAACTCCATGTGAGTTTGTGAGCATGATTTTGATTTTAAACATTGCTTTAACATTTTTTTCAGTCATATCGCTACAGGTCTGCAGTATTGTAGTTTATGGTGATGTCTAGCACAGGGGCATTATATCATAGACATGTAGTATGATGTCCCACCCAGTCACATTATCCTGATGCTAGGACAACCAGTCCTAACACTAATCTCTTAATGCTGGTGTCTGTACCATTTTACATTGACCATTTTCAATGTATATACTGGTATGCAATTAGCAACATTGAGTTGGTAAAAATTTTTTATCAATGACTCAGTTATACAACAGAAAGATAAAATATTTAAAGACTAAAAATCACCATTTGCAATTAGTAATATACATTATTCAATCTGATAATAAAGCTACTGATAAAATGCAATTAATATTGAAAAACATCTACTTTACCAAATTTAAATGAACTAATAAATGCATCATTATTTTTTTACAGTTGATGTTAACATTACAAAAACAGGAAACAGGACATATATATGTTTGAGAACATGTTATTTATTATTGGTATGACTCAGCTGGGATTTTGTAACCATGACCTGCATCTGAGGTGGACAATCAGGCCACTGTATTTACGAGGTCTTAAAAGTGAAATGCGAATATATTGCATTTCAATAAGTGTTACATGGTTTGACATTATGCTTAAGCAGTTAAAAATGTTTTATGTTAATTTATTGACAAATGCTTTTATTTGTGAGCAGTTTTAGGACCTGATACCCAATCACAAGATATTAGCTTGATTATTAGATGTGCCAGTTAAATATAGTAAGAAATGAGAAAGAAGTTTGGAGCAGAGATTTGTGAAACTGGAGTATTGTATAAGTAAATAAAAGGTTTACCTATAAATCTTATAAAATTAGTTATATTAATTTAATATATTCCGGAATTTTTCTTACATTACAATATTTTTATCTCCATTACTGTCCATTACAGATCATTACTGTGTTTAGGGAGACCGTAAAATTCATGCAAATTAAAGTGTAAGGATTTCTGATTTTATTGCATTAGCAGCTAAAGTAAATAGCAGCAATATTATGCAAGTATGTTAGCTTGTATTTATGTGTTTACCTTACTTTGTTGTTTACCTGGCATCGAGTGTGTAACCGATTTACAAATGAAAAAAATCTGAATGAGTATGACCGATATCCACATTTTTGTCGCAACTAAACAGTTTGAAACTAAATCTAAAATTGTGCCTGAATTGAACGGTATCAACAAAAGTATTAACGATGCTAAACTGCAAAATAAACTCCACGTTAATGTCCTTTTTAAGACTTTTCTTGCACTGTGCGGAGTTTTATCGGCTGTCATGCTGTACTATTCTTTTAAGAAATGCACACCCTCCCCACCCTGGACTGGACCCTATCAACCTTTTTTTGTGGGTATGTGACATAAAACTGTTCCCTGTTTAGTCTGGTTCCTTGCTTAGAATAATTCGTGGTTTCACTGCTCTAAACGAATACGCCGATTGAAACGTATCAAAGGAAAACAGGGAACTAGACTAAACTGGAGATCTCGAATTCGAGCTCGAGCTCGCTCTCGTTCTCTCACTCTCTATCTCTCGCTCTCCTGGTTCTGCGAGTGTCTGGTTAAACTAGACTTTCCTCCTAGAGAGTCCAATCCAAATATGGAAGCGGAAGTAAACAAATAGGTACGCGTTGTCCAAGGTGGACACGTGTCACACCTAGGTTTAACGTTTTAATACCACCGGAGGCAAACATAAGTGCTTATAAATACGGTAAGGTAAACGCTGAGCGTTATGCAGCCATCGCCTGCCCTCAAACTCACTCAGAAAATGCTTACGTTTTACAGCGTCTGTTGACGTGTTGATCTTGACCATCAAGTAGGTCTCTTGCTTTTTTTTTTTTTTTCTTGTCAGAAAGAAGAAAAAAAGCAGAGACCTACTTGGTGGTCTACTGAGCAAGTTACAAATGAAATGAAGTTTATCTGTCACTGGATCGGTAGTGGTGGTGGGGAACGTGTAACAACGACAACCTCTCCATTAACAGTTTTAATTTATGTTGTAACGAGCCCATATGCATTGGGTACACGAAAAACCCAAAATATACCTTTCGTTTTATATACAAGTGGCCATGTAATAAATTTTGCTAAGACCCGTTTCAGACTATTAGCATGGCTACATGTATCTGCGGCAAAGTTTTGATTATAATGATTATGAGCAAACGGTTTACATGAATATACCAAATCACCCGATCTTTTGATCAGCTTGTAAGCTTTTATTGCGGTTGGGCATGCTAGGAGATCATTTGATCAACTTGTAAACTTTGATATGATGTGATATCATTATGATTTTAATGTAGCTTTAACAATTTTTCAGTCATATTGCTACGATGTCTGCAGTGTGGCAGTTTATAGTGATTCCAGCACTGGGGCATCATGCTGCAGACATGTAGCATGATGTCCCACCCAGTCACATTATCCTGACACCAGTCCTAACACTAACCTCTTAATGCTGAGCACCTAGCAAGGCAGTTGTTAGTACCATTTTTGTAAATATTTGGTATGACTCGACTGGGGATCGAATCCACGACCTCCTGCATTCAAGGCGGATGCTCTAACCACTAGGCCACCGGAGCGGTTTTGTAAACTTTGATAGCAATTGGGCAAATGTGTGCTTTTATATGTATGCATGCATGTACGTATTTGCCCAATAACTATCAAAGTTTACAAATTGATCAAAAAATCTCCTAATATGACCAGTTACATTTGAAGGTTACAAATATATTGGTAGATCAGGGCTATTGGACAATTCGGCCCAAAGACAATTTGGCCCAAGACAATTCAACCCAACATAGACCAAAAATAAGACAATTAGGCACAACCTGAAAGACAATTCAGCCCAACTCAAAGACAATTCGGCCCAACTTAATAATACGAAGTATTGGGAGTGAGCTGGGAAAAAATATGGGGACAAGGGGAGAAAATTAAATCACTCAAAATGCAAAATATTATTTTTAAATACTTACACATTGCATGGCTAACAGGGGAGGTAGCCATGCAGAGGTACATGATCAAACAGATGCCCAAATGCCCCATGTGTAAGAAAGTAAATTATACAAAAATACATGCAATAACGGATGGTGAAAAAACCCACAATATAAAGGAATAAAATTATAGTACAAATATCAAAAGCTGAGCAATACAAGAAAAATATGTTTTTATATCTTGATGGAAACTTTACAGAAGAAACATATATGAAGTTAACAGAATACATAATAACAATAATGAAGACATGTGGGCAAGTTATTATGATTACAAAATGTAAGAAATTTTTAATAATTTGTTTTTAATATAATAGTACCTAATATGTGACCTCGCTTTGCTTAACCTCTTAAATAAAATCTAACTTTGTTTCTTTCTCTTTCTTTATGGGACAAGGAACCTACACATGGAAGAAGTAAGAGACGTAGATGTCGTGATGCTATGCCACATGGCACTACGCAAAGTGGACAAGCCTCCAAAAGAGCCTCAGAAAAATCCATGTGTAGCACATGGACAGACAGGACATACAAATGTGAAATAAAGAAATATAACTAACAATGATGACCTATTCTAATATTGAACTAACCTTATATAATACTACCTGAGATTTGGGAGCAAAATGAAGTGAGTGACATAGAAAAAATAAAAGAAATGTTACTCACTGCAGGATGCAATCCAAATACTCAGTTTCATTATAATAACTATTATTATCAAATTTTACTTCTCAATTTTAATTTATTATATGATTATAAAGAGGAGTTGACACAAAACAAATACAAGTAAAACATAGGTTATTTTTTTTTTATTTTCTTTAGTGCACCGTCTCACTCTCAAAAGTAAGTTATAAATTCCAAAATGTTAAAACCTTGGTTTATAAAAAAAGTTAATTAAATGTTTATCCAACAACAAATATATGCATATATATGGATGTAGATGTGTACTTGTATAAAAGGTGTATAGGGTATATAAATATGAGTGAGGTATATATATATATATATATATATATATATATATAATGGGGGTAGTAGGGTAAAAATGAAATAGGAAAACTTGGGATATAATATCTTAATTTGATTAAATTGCCATCCTTACAAACCTTACAAAACACTTTATATCAAACAAACATTATAGCATATTACATATAGCACACACAGGACATAAGAGACTTTTGGCAATGGCCACAGAAAGTTGTTATTTTGTTTCATATGAGAGAAATTGGTTGATTTTTTACAACACACCAGCACTATGAGGCTATTTAGCACCATACAAGATTATATCTTTCATCATTTTCTCTTATTTATATATATATATACATATACACACACACACACACATATATATATATATATATATATATATATATATATATATATATATATATATATATATATATATATATATATATATATATATATGGAACATGGCATGATTATTTTGTTGTAAATATTATCAATATATATATATATATATATATATATATATATTTATATATATATATATATATATATATATGTGTGTGTGTGGAATGAGGTGTGATTATTTTCTTGTAAAATATGTCAAAATATCTTGGTTTGTTAATATTTGATCAGTTTTGTTCCTAAAACATAATTTTTTTTTACTACCAATAAAAATTGTCAAAAATATTCTCTCCTATTTAAATTATATAAATCTTACTTAGTATCTAATAGTTGCTTGAAGAAGAAAAAACTTGATACAACTTTTACAAAAGTGGGCCGAATTGTCTTTCGAGTTGGGCCAAATTGTCTTAGAGTTGGGCTGAATTGTTTTTAAGTTGGGCCGAATTGTCTTATTTTCGGTCCAAGTTGGGGCGAATTTTCTTGGGCCAAATTGTCTATAATCCATAGATCAGATGTGGATTGTATTTCATTAGCTCTTGTTACAGACAACTGAGATGTATTACAATTGAAGATTTATTATGTCTCAGTGGTGACTCTAACACTTGTCTTTTTTTGGTAAAAATTTCAGATCCTTTCTGCTAACAAGCATCATGTAGTGTAGCTTGTAATGACCAGTGAAGAGATTTCACAGAGTGAGTTTGATTACAGTAGAGCAACCCACCTACCAGGGGAAATCTGGTTGGACATATTTAGCCATCTTGATGCCATCAGCCTTTTTGCAGCTTGTCTGACTTGTAAACAGTGGAATACTTTGATCTCTGGCAGTGGGTCATTGTGGAAGGAGCAGTGTCACAAGCTCAAAGACTGTAAAAAGTATATCAAAAAGGACAGAAAGGCTGGTTTACATTGGAAGGTAAGTGTGCTAATGTAATGAATTCCAGTTTGTAAGTTAAAAAGTTTATATTTTTATGGTGCTAAAGTTTGCAACAAATCTCTTGCTTGGAATAAGAATTATTAAAAGGGATACATGTCTTATGTCAGATCAGTGTATTCTACATGTGTACAAGACACTTGCTTTTTCACATTTTATCTCTTGATGTATGTGAGGGGAGAATTCTGTAATTGTTATTATGTACAGAGACTGTATAGCTAACCAAAAAGGGCAGCGATGGTGATTTTCAATGTTATAAATATTTTAGTATCTACATATATTTTAAGCACTCTTAGATGACAACCAGAAGTTACTGGTACATTGTTTTTACAACAAATCTCTGATAATCGTACAAAAATTAGTGACAGAATATTTTAATGTTTTAAGTTCATAAGAAAAATTAGCCCATGGAGTACAGGGTTAAGTGTAAAGAATAATTTGGACAGTATTTTAAAAAATCTTTTGCTTACACTGGTACATTTCTATTGAAAAGTTTGTAGCATGATATTAAACAAGCATCTAGTGTTTCAGCTGTTAGAAAATGATGGCTCTGTAGGTTTACAATGAGCAATCCTGGTTTTATGACTGTTTAACATCTATACTTGGAAGCTGTGATTTATATATATATGATCACAGTGTCAGCTTTGTATAATTTCCATTCATTTTTTAGTTCAATTGTATTCTTTTATGAAGAGGACATTATCCTGAGTTTTTATTTTACCTTTACATGTATATTTTATTATTGCAGGACTAAATGCATAATACCTGTAAGCTAATTATGACACATGAATAAATGAAGGATATTATTATTATTTGTGCAAGTAAAAGAAATAATAAAGTACATTACTTTTCAGAGATAAAAGATAATAATCAAATTAAAAGCAGGTACATTAGCTGTGTAAAATAAATGATAAAGACCTATCAGATATGATAAGAGTAAATAGTTTCCTTCTGTCTGATAAGATTAATTATATTGTTATATTCATTTATTGAAGGAAGTGTTCAGGCTGAATTACAGCAAGATTGGTTTGAAAAGGCATTGGAAGGAGGGTCGCTTCAGTAATCCAAAGAGTCTTACTGATTTGCCAGAGAGACCTTTCTGTCATTTAGACACAGACAGCTGGGGTGAGGTGTTCCAATGGGAACTAGACAGAACATGAACCTGACTACCTTCATGGTTTATCAACAAAACTAACAATTGTCAACCATTTATGTGTACCATTTGGTTGTGTCTTGGGTCACATAGAACGAAAACAGTTCAACCAAACTTGCTTTTGTGTCAGAATTTATCTTTCTTGTTACAGAATATTAAACCTAGAAATCATTTTTTTTTCCTTTGTAATAAATTTGCACCAGTTTTTAATATCTAGGTTTAAGAAGTTCAGTGAGTGAACCTTTTGTTGTGCATTTGCAAATTCTGTTATTCTAAGTAGAAAAAATATTTATAAATTGTTTCCAGTTAATAATTATTTCCTATTTTTTTATTTTAGTCATATTATTTAAACTGTTAATTTTTCTTTGCTTTTGTTTGAAATTTCAACCCAGAGTTTGTTAAGGAGTACAGGTAAGATATTAGCTATATTATCAACTGTTAATCAAAATGTCAGGCTGGCCAAGTTGTGAATTATTTTACTCATTGATGTTTACATCACTTGTTATATTTTCTGGATGTTATATGATTTCTGCTGAGGACATGGCAGATAAGGATGTATTCCAGACCAGTAATCAACCTCCACTGCAATTTGGTCAAGCAAAGGAACCTCGTTACCTATTGTACGATGTTAACCCTGGTGAGGGATTTAATCTGAGACGTGATGTTTACATAAGAGTTGCAAATTTAGTCAAAGTTCTTAATGAAGATGAACCATGGATTCTGGTGTTACCTCCATGGGGACGATTGTACCATTGGCAAACTAGAGAGCTTGGTGCTCAGATTAAAATTCCATGGTCAACTTTCTTTGATCTAGAAAGTTTACGAAAGCACATTCCTGTAATTGAGTTTGAAGATTATCTCAAAGTCATTGGGAAACCTGTAATTGGTGAGGTGTATTATCTCCAAAGTTACAAAGAGGGTTGGGACAAGTGGGAGGAAAAGATGGATATTCGAGAATGTATTGACAAACCCCGATATCAACAAGATGAAAATGGCAAATGGAGGGGACCATTTTTTTATTATGATGAAGTATATGCAGAAAAATTTGCCTGCATGTCTGCTCAGTCTTATGCCGTATCCATGAAGCCTTTCTTAATGAAAAATACAACTGCCAGATCTGTATTTCTTGATCGAGCAGAGGCATTGATCCAT